CTTTACATGAGATGTGATTAAAGTTTGATAATATTGGGAGATACTCTGGGATCTTATTTCAACTTGAGATTCTGAATGCAATACCGTTCACTTTTATAGACTACAAACCTGCTTAAACAACAGCCCTTAAATTACCACGAAAACAGGTGTTGTGATGTATAACGTAAACTTAAACATCAAACACAGAGAGCCTTTGGGGGATGTTCAGAAGACTAAAAAATCATGCCTGAGAGGCCTTTCTCATCACTTTCTTTCCTAAAAAAAAGGACTTACACGATTGAAGCGGACTATAATGGATGAGACTCAAATATTCACATTGCCTACTAAAGTTCTGCAAACATATGTCCCAGCAACCCTTTAAACTGCAGGCACATCATATGTTTACAACTATTGAACCACAATTTATTTTTTTATTTCCAGTAGCACCCAGAATGCACTACCTGCTTTCTTAATGCTTGAGATTAATTGTTGCTCAGGAGAGAGGATTAGCAAAGAGGACTAAAGCATGACCAGCAGACAGGAATGTTGGAGAGGCAACAATATTAAACACTATATGCACAAAAATACAATCCTTTTGTGCACATGCATGTGTGTGTATATGTATGTATACACACACACATATACATAAAAGTACATACACTTCACAGAGATGTGTGTATATGTGTATATATGTGTATTTATACCAAATTCTAAGCACTCATTTAAACAGTCAAATACCAATCTGAGTTTCAGGAGTTCTTTGTGTGGCAGGAGAATGAGCCATGCAGATGAATGAGCACACACACATATGAGCAGTTTCTGTGATCAAGTAGATGCCCATCTGATCCCTCTTATCTAGGCAGCCTACAAATTCTGTGCAACGCCACAGACTTGGCCTCAGAACATAAAGCCAGGAAGTTTTTACAGACAAAAGGCAGACCAATAAATAGTTTGTTGCAGAGACTGCTAAAATGGAAAATGACAACTGATTCTTAATCAAAAGTAAAGAAACGTAAAGAGCTAGCCAGTGCTCAGCCTATTCTGAAAGTAGCAGAGAATGGGCTTGCTTACTCCCCCCATATTTTTTTTCATCCCTCCTCCCCAGCTCAGGCCATAGGTTTAGAGAAACGGCTATACAGATTTCAGAGATTTAATTTTCCACAAGCACAGGCCATAAATTAAAATACGGCAATCCAATCCCATTAATAGTGCAAGAAAAAGCTAAGTGGCTGCTTTGGTCTTTGCTTTCATGAACTTGTGTCAAGTTCAGTGACTTCAAAGAGATTTCCATTTCATTTCTACAAATGAAGAGAACAGACAGAGAGTCTCTGTCATCCTCTGATGCCTTAAGAAAATAGAAGAAAAACATGCCTGTATCTCATTCGCTTAATGATTTTAGCTGCAAAAGGAATCCCATGGTCGGCAGACGACCCTCAGGGCAAGGGCTTGAGGTCTGTCACAGTATATAAGGCTTCTCCAAACCCACTCCATTATCTTCATTATTGTATAGCAGGAATAAAAGGGGACTGACTCCTCTTCTGAAGTCCAAGTTAGAAAGGACAGAATGTTTCATATAAAATAACATTGTGTGACTTCGGTAATAGGTTTATGCCTCTGGGGGCCTAAATACTAAAGCAGCATACAAGGATTTTCTGCAGAATTTGAGATGAGGAAAACGAACACTCTATCAGCAATGAGTAAAATTCCACATATTTTAGATTCACTGAAACACTCCCTGCCCCTGTGTCACCGTGACTCATTCTCAATCACATCGTTTCATGAAGCAAGAGCAAAATGGTAAGCTTAGGGAAAAGAAAAAAAAAAGGGCACAGGGCTTTAGGAACTAAGTAGAAATGCCTGGGAAAACCCAAGCCATGCACAAATGTGAGGAGGGAAAAGAAGCGACAGGCTTTTAGAAAGTTCTTACAAAAAGTAGGTGGAATATAGGAGGCTTCAACCAAGGGCATGCAAGGAACAAATCAACTTGGAAACCATTTATGTGAACGGTGATGCTTCCCTTGTCAGCGCATGTGTGGTACGTGTCCGCAAACGGGCATCCACACACTCACGTGCACATTCATATGCTCCGAGCACTGACATTGTAAAAAACTCCCTGCCATTTCCTGGCACAATTTACTGAGTATTAACCCTCGCTTTCTAACAAATGTTGCTTAAGAAAAACATTTGCCCTTAACATGGTCAGTCTTCGATCAATATTTTGCAGTTTCTGGCTTGTGCTCAAACCTCCTTTAAGAAAAGGGAATTCTTTTCACTGGCTCAACTGAGGTTTGGATCAAAACCCAAACTTGTCCATCCAGAACTGCTCTGTTTTTCAGTTCTGAAAAAATAGCCATTTGAAAGAATGGTTTAAAAGCACACTTCCCACAGTAATTCAGAAGACAATTTCAAACAATAAAAAAACAGAACAAATACAGCAGCCCACTATAAGAGTTAAATAATATATAAACTTTTGAGTACACAGAGAAATAGGCATCTGGCTCATATCTGGTCTTAGAAAGATCCAAGGGAAATTGATTTAATTGAACCTCAGTTATTGGTGCAAATATCTCCCTTTCCTCCAAAGAGAAACAAACTACTGTATTACTGTTATTGATGTAATACAGGACCGCTGAACCAAGTTTCTTGGTCTCAACCTATAGAGCTCCACAAACCAGTAAGTCTAAAAATTACTGAAAAACACAATGACCATACAACAGTGAATTGTTAACTACATGTGCTATTAAAAAATGCCACTTACAGCTTATTTATGGTGGGAATCATTAACATGCTGACTACCCAACTTGCAACCAGTGATGACTGACAGCTCTACTTTTGCACTATATGAAGAAGACACGACAGTAAGATTTTCTGCAAGAGTTCAAACAGAAAAAA